GCCTCCGCGTCCGCCTTCGCCTTGGCCTCGGCGTCGGCCTTGGCCTTGGCCTCGGCCTCCGCCTTGGCCTTGGCCTCGGCGTCGGCCTTGGCCTTGGCGGCGGCCGCGCGCTCGCGCGCCTCGGCCTCCGCGCGCTGTTTCTCGCGCGCCTCGGCCTCGGCCTGCTTCGCCGCGCGGAGGTCGGCCTCGCGCTTCGCCTGCTCGGCCTCGCGCTGCTTGCGCGCGGCCTCGGCCTCCGCGGCGAGCCTGTGTGGAAATCGACCACTGGTTTGGGGGGTCCCCACCAAACTTCAGAACTCTCTAGCTCCGTCAAATCGAAGTCGATTCGGCTGATTTTTGGACGGATCGATTGCTCTCGTCGAGTTCTCGAAGCACGGCAGAAGAGCTCGTGTCGAAACCGTCGCATACGCGCACATTGAAGATTTGATTTCCACACGGCGGCGAGCTTGGCCTTGACCTCGTCCTCGGACGGCCCCGCGGGCGCGGCGGGCGCGACCGGCGCGGGGGCGGCGGGCGCGGCGGCGGGCGGCGCGTCCTCGCGCGGCTTCTTCGCGTCCGGGTCCTCGCCGCCGCCCTCGTGGGGCCGCTTGGGCGGCGCCGGCGACGAGAGCGCACCAAAGGATCCGGGACCTGCGGACGCGTCGAACGATTTGCGACGATTCGCGCGAAATCCGGTCGCGCGGGGTCGCGGGGCGCACGTACCGGCCGGGGGCTGGAACGACATGTTCTTATTAGGCGCTCGCCGGCACGAGCACTTGGTGTGCTCTGATAGTTTAAGTGGAGAGCGCGGACTTGGGAGAAAACCTCAGGCCCTCATGTAATCCTAGTTATAAATCTCGCCGGGGGTCTCGCGACCGCTCTCCCCCCCCGCACCGTCCTCCTCGCGGCCAAATTCCCGAGATTAGGCGCGCACCCCGCGCTCACAGGCCCATGTGCCCCAGGAGCATGGCCTTGAGGATGCGCTTCGGGTCGCCCTTCTTGAATTCGACGTCGCGCTCCTGGAGCGCCTTCCGCAGCTGCTTGGCCGTCATCTTCTCGACGTCCGCGAGCGTCGGCGGCAGGGCGTCGACGAAGCCGAAGAGCGCCGGGCCGACCTCCAAGGCCGGCGGCGCCGGCGCCGGCGGCGCGGCCGCCGCGGCCGCCGCGGCCGGCGCCGGCCCCGGCGAGGGCAGCGCGGCGAGCGCGGCCGCGAGCGTCGCCGAGGGCCGCGGGCCGCGGGCGGCGAGCGCCGCCTGCAGCGCGGCCCCGAGCTCCGCCTCGCCGTCGTCGTCCTCCGCCTCCGGCGGCGCCGGCGGCGCCGGCGCCGCGACCTCCTCCGGCGCCGCGGCCT